ATTAAGGTTTTCCGGTTAGAAGCGATGCAGCAACTAGGGTTTAGAATATATTAGGGTTTAGGGTTTAGGGTTTAGGGTTTAGGGTTTATTTTGCTTGTATCTTCTGAACCCTAAAAAGGCAAAGAACACCAACAGACTGAAACAAAGTGAAACTAAGTGTAACGAGGGTTTAGGGTTTAGGGTTTAGGGTTTAGGGTTTATGTTGCCTGTATTTTTTGTACTTCACAGCAGAGAACATCAGCAGGCTGAAACAAAGTGCAACTAAGTGCAACTAACTGCAACTAACTGCAACTAGGGTTTAGGGTTTAGGGTTTAGGGTTTAGGGTTTAGGGTTTAGGGTTTATGTTGCCTGTATTTTTTGTACTTCACAGCAGAGAACATCAGCAGGCTGAAACAAAACCCTCATTTCTAGTATATCTGCTTCATCTCTTCTTCGCTGCACTTCTAAAGAAACCGCCGCCACAGATAAAACCGCCAAACGTGAAGCACCCACCTCCAGCAACCACTGCACACAAACCCTAAACCCTAAACCCTAAACCCTAAACCCTAAACCCTAAACCCTAGAGTGGCAATATTCTTCGGCAACTCGTACTAAACATATTCACAATAAAACGGAACTTTTTAAATGGTTAATATTAAACAAAACATAAACCCTAAACCCTAAACCCTAAACCACAAAACCCTAAACCCTAAACCACAAACAACAAACCCTAAAACACAAACCCTAAACCACAATGTGCGGCTAGCGAACAACAAAACTGAGAAAAGGGGAGCCGCAGAGCAGTACGGCGGCAGCAGCACTCCGCCAATACCCAGCGGCTAGGGTAGACTAGGGTTTAGGGTTTAGGGTTTAGGGTTTAGGGTTTAGGGTTTACCTTTCCGTTAGCGATGTCGGTGACCCTACCCACCACCACGTCTCCTACATTTGCTTCATATCGGCTCTTCAGCGGCCGCACATACACCAGGCGGTTCACCTGCACCCCACCAAACCCTAAACCCTAAACCCTAAACCCTAAACCCTAAACCCTAAATATTGAATCCTGTATAAGGAGCTGCTACACAGCAAGGGTTTAAAAATTAGGGTTTAGAGTGAAACACAAACCCCTATTCTACAACAGTCTGCTGCACAGAATACAGCTCCAAACAACAATCTAGGGTTTAGGGTTTAGGGTTTAGGGTTTAGGGTTTAGGGTTTACGGTTTGTACGACGCCGCAGACAGAGGCCCGGGCCACCCCGTTGTCTACGTGGGTGTTTAACCCCAAAAGAAAACCATCGCCTAGCTGCAGCGGCTCCCCCGGCAGCACAACCTTGCTGCTGCAGCTGCTGCTGCTGCTGCTGCTGCTGCTGCTGCGCTGCTGCCGCTGCTGCTGCTGCTCCTCGTCGACCCACATCCTTACTGCTGCTGCTGTGCGCGGCGTACAAACAAACTTCGCATTGTGAAGCGCACAAACCCTAAACCCTAAACCCTAAACCCTAAACCCTAATTCTGAAGCCTAAACCCTAAACACGCTCTGTTGTTCTGTGGGGTCTCTCTAGAGGCCCCGATGGTTTAGGGTTTAGGGTTTAGGGTTTAGGGTTTTGAGTTTAGGGTTTACGTTTGTATAAAAATAAATATTTTATTATATTTATATACCGCATCGATTCTTCGTTTCTCCTCACCGGGGCTGCATGCGAATAGATGGGGCTGCAGCAGCAACAGCAGCAGCAGCAGCAACCGCAGCAGCAGCAGCAGCAGCAGCAGCAGCAACAACAGCAGCAGCAGCAGCATCAAAAGCAGCAGCAGCAGCAGCATGTTAGCAGGGTGTGTTGCCTAAAGCTTAGACCCTCATCGTTTGCATTCTCGCCCCTCGTGCCCCCCCCTGTAAACCCTAAACCCTAAACCCTAAACCCTAAACCCTAAACCCTAAATTTTTTTTTTTTCGAGGATGGGTTTTGGTTGGCGTGAGCGTCTATACTGTCAGCCAATGCTGTCTAGTTACGTCTCCGACGCAGCAGCAGCATCATCAGCAGCGTTGGGGGCCCCCCTGGGCCCCCTAAGCAGCAACAGCAGCAGCAGCAGCAGCAGCAGCAGCATGGTATCTCCGCTGCTGCGCAGCAGCAGCGAGACTTTATCTGTGCCTTTTGTGGGCCTCTCTCAGGGGCTGTTGGGGTGTATGAACAGCTCAACGCTGCCGAACGCAGATATTTATTTTTTATTTAAACCCTCACAGCTGCTGCACTTTGCTCTCCCTGTTCTTGTCTTTCTACCGAATCTTACTGTATTCACACGCAGCTGGCCTTTCTATGCATCCAAAGCTACTTAAAGTAGTGCTGCTGCTGCTGCTGCTCCTGCTGCTGCTGCTGCTGGGGGTGGTGCTGGTGCTGCTGGTGGTGGTGGTGGTGGTGGTGGTGGTGGTGGTGCTGGGGGTGGTGCTGGTGCTGCTGCAGCAGCACGCCATATAGACGCTCAGGAGATGCTGCAGCAGCATTAGAAGAAACTGCAGCAGCAGCAGCAGACCCTGTACTTTCCCTGCAGGGATAGCAGCGGTCTACCGCAGCAGTTGTAGCGC